CCGCCGCTATATAAATGGTCAAACTAGTTTGATCGAAATGGTGTTTTCAAAACACATTTGAAACACATTTGAAAAAGAAACATCATGACATGATGTTTAAAAAAAACACATTGATTACCAAACACACCTTAAGAACATAAAAATGTTGCGGAAAACAAGTAAAGTAAGGGATATGAGTGCGAAGGAAGTGAAACTACAAGGTAGTTAACTGTTATTTTCGACCCCACCAGATGGGCCACCTGCCTCCTCTCACACCCACCACAAAAATGCCTGAAAAGCCAAATACAACAAAGTATCAAATGCTTCGGCGGGTTTATTCATCCCGGAGGCTCGCTAGTATGGTTCCACGCGGGTACCGCGAGCGCCTGCTGGCCTCAGAAGTACTCATCCGATCGCAAGTTCGATCGGCATTGTTCAAATTCGAGGCTGGCAAGCAGGAAGGCCTGAGCCAAAGGGAAGGATTTCAAGGAGAGCTGCGGTGAGTTGAGGAAAGCTTTTGGTTGAGCTGGCGTCTGGTGCGAGGGGGGCGTTAATTCTCTCTTTTTGCCTCCTCTCACACCTCACCACAAAATGCGAAAAGCCAAATACAACAAAGTATCAAAATGCTTCGCGCGGGTTTATCATCCCGGACGCTCGCTAGTTGGTTCCAGCGGGTACCCGAGCGCCTGCTTGGCCTCCAGAAGGTACTCATCGATCCAAGTTCGATCGGCATTGTTCAAATTCGAGCTGGCAAGCAGGAGCCTGAGCAAAGGGAAGGATTTCAAGGAGAGCTGCGGTGAGTTGAGGAACCTTTCGGTGAGCTTGGCGTCGTGCCGAGGGGGGCGTTAATTCTCTCTTTTAGGGGGGAGCTTTTTCTTGGGAAAGGGACCAGGCACGTGCGGAACGGGCATTCGAGGCTTTGGTTCTTGGGGCAGTATGTGCTGGAGATGGCCTTTTGTGAGTATTTCTTGCAGAGGTATCCGAGGGAGTCGCCTGCGCCAATGAGGGAGAGGGTATTTCAGTTGATTGGGAAGAGGTATTTACCAAGGTGGATTAAGGCGGCGAGCTTGCAGAACTTGGTGTTTCCTTTTGATGAGATGGATAAGATGATAAGGAAGGAGAGGGAGCCACCTGTGAAGTAAGTGATTGCTTTGGTTTGCTTGTGAATTTGAGTTCATTTATCATGCTAACACTTGTATACGTTTTGTTTAGATGATGCATTTTAATTCATTTCTTATGTTAATCTTAGTAAAGGGAGTTTGAGATTAGAACATTGTGTTTTCGGTAGAAATTGTGCTTTGAATTTGGGGCAATAGGAAATGTCCCCTTTAAACAATGCCGACAAATTTTGGATTGATGGATATCTTCTCAAAGCCATACAAGCACTTGGGTATCCATTAGAATCGACAATGAAGCTAGAGAGAGAGAGAGAGAGAGAGAGAGAGAGAGAGAGAGAGAGAGAGAGAGAGAGAGAGAGAGATTCTTGCTGAAGCAGATTAAAGTGACGAGCTTACAGAATTTGGTGTTTCCTTTTCATGGGATGGATAAGATGATAAGGAGAGGGAGCTGCTGGTGAAGTAAGTGGTTGATTTAAGTTGGTTTAGATTGTGTGTTTTGATTCACGTTTTGTGTTAATCTCTGTGTAGAAAGTTTTTAGTTTGGAACTTTACCATGATTTAGGTAATTAGATTGATAGGAACATGCTTGGATTGGGATAAATTAATGGGTAAGTTGTGAGACTCAATTAGTAAATGGAGAAAGAGCATTAGTGTGGCTAACCTTAAGAGCTTGAGTTTGATTGTGCGTTTTAGTTCAATTTTGTGTTAGCTTTTGTGTAGAAAATATTGAGTCTGGGACATTATATGAATTAGTACGTAGATTGATTGGAACATTCTTGAATTGGGGTTCATTTATGGGTATAAATGGAAGGTTACTTAACTAGTAAAATGGAGAAAGAGCAGTGGTGTAGCTAAGTTCAATAGTTTGGGATAACAACTGTGTCTGCTGCAATTTGTGTCAAAAGATGACTTTGTTCTAGTCAGAGTGCCAAAGAGTAGAAGGTGTAAGTGATGGATAATACATGAGCTTTCCCAAGTGGCTTAGAGTTTTTTGGAATTTTACATTTCTTAATGGCAAGATGGATGAACTGAGTAGGAAAGATTGGAAAAGCCTGGTAAGTAACTACATTTAAGATTTTTATCATTGCTTTTGATTTAAACGAGATCAATTTTTCATATCTTGCACTGCGCATTGAAAGTGAGTTTTTGGGTTACTGGGTATAGAATCTGCAATTGCATGTGAGAGTTGGGAAGGACGTTGCCTGATATGAGCTGGTAAATTGTGTATCTGGTCTGATCTAGTTACAGTATTATTACACACAGTGTCTTCAATATTTGTTGATATGGTAGAGCATACAAGGAGCCCTGTTTAGGGTTTTTTATGGGTACATGGAGCGCGGTTCAGTTGGCATTTTGCTAGTGATGATGGATATACTTGATATAATTAGTCTAGTTAAAATTTGCGTTCTGAGATTTATTTATGATAGATAAACTTTTATATGTTTTAAAGTTGCTGATTTAAAAGTTTGTTGTAATTTTTTCTAATAAAAACAGTTCATGGTAGTTTTTGAAATGAATGAATGAATGAATTAATAATGATCTTATATTCTTTATAGGTATGCCATTTATAACTTTTTCCCACATTTATCATTTCAATATTTGTGATCAATATTTGTGTTATCAGATCTGTATTCTGGGCATTGTTTGGAGCAATATATCTGTGTTTTGGCATGCCCGAGGTTTACCGTGTTCTCTTCGAGGCATTTGGAATGGACCCGGAAGATGAAAGTTGCCAACCAAGGCTGAGACGTCAGCTGGAAGATGTCGATTATGTTTCGGCTGAATTTGAGGGCAAGCCACTCAGCTGGCAAGATGTTGCTGCCTACAGGGTATGGCCGATACACCTACTTTCCTTTTTTCTTTAATTATATATTCCTTTTGAAGATGAGCTAAGCTACGATTTGGTAATATAGGATTTGCGGTGCTATAGGTCTAAATTTATTATTTTGATTTCCAAATTGAAAATCCGTACTGTTGGATGTGATGTAATATGCATTCACTATGTATTAAAAAGGGCGGTCAAGTGCACAAGGTTCCCACCATTATAGGATTTGGGGAGGGTCAGATGTACACAACCTTAACCCCATATGCGAAGAGGCTGTTTTCGAGAGTCGAACCCATGCCTTGAGGTCATAGGGAACAACCTTAAGGTTGCGCCAAGCTCACCCTCTACTATGTAGAATCGAAATTTCCAATTATTTGGCACACAAGATGTATGGTTAAAATACATGGAGATAGTCCAAACTTTTATATTTCTAAAAAGTTGATTTTGTAGTAGATTATCCTTGAATGATATATGTTTCAGGATCCAAATTTTGGATGTGGAGCGATAGAATCTGCATTTTGAATAGCCTAGCTCAACTCTTTCTCTTGCAATCTTCTAATGTTTACTGACTGATAATTCTACATCTATTTCATGCAGCCTCCACAGGATGCACTTTTTGCACATCCAAGGCTTTTTAGGGCATGTGTACCGCCAGGTATGCATCGATTTCGGGGAAATATTTGGGACTTTGACAACAGACCCAAAGTCATGCAAGCACTTGGATATCCACGGCCAGTGAGTGACAGAATTCCGGAGATCACCGAGGCCAGGAACATTGAACTTGGACTTGGACTTCAGGTGACCATGCATCATATAGTTCTGCGCAGACATTAACTGCCTACAATCAAGATAAAATAGCGACTTTTTAACCTAGTAATTCCAATTGAACCTTTGGTGATAATGCTAGTCTTCGGAAGTAAATAAAATAAAGTTTGTCCAACTTCAGGAGCATTCAGTTGATGTGGAAAAGGCTAATCAGGTTGATTTGTATCACTCTTGTCCAATAAGATGTTTAAAATGTGAAATTTCTTCATTGTGGTTTCTAAAGTCACAATCCCATTAATTCCACGTCTTACATGAGTGGACTGTTTTATTTTCTCATCCGAGCTGTAAAACTCGTATCTTATTCATGCATCAGAGTGCTAAATTTTGCATGTGCGACCTAACTTTACTATTTTTCTTTCTAGGTTCATCTTGCATCTGCTCTCCTGGCAGTAGTTATAACATGATCTTATCCTAAAGAAAGTATTTTACATTGCCTGTTTGAGCTTTTCATTAAACCAAGTGAGATTGCTAGAAAGCACTTTGGTTAACTGATGCTGCATATTTTTTTAGAAGAAGATAAGAGGATTGCTTATTGCTTTTCGTAGTTGTTTTGGTTTGGATGATATTTATTGCAGAGTCAATCACCATCCTTCAGAACCTTTATCTTTCCTTTCTAAACTATATTTTGGACAGAATAAATATGGATCCCCTTGTTCTTCTATTGTGAGGGAGGCAACTTTTTCTATCTTGAGCTTACAGTCAACCATTCTTTCTTGTCTTTATAGCTTGACTTTCAAGAACTGCTGATCCCCTCTCTCACATGCATGCATCCTTACTCTAATGACTAGTATCTGTGTGTCATTCTTTCTGGTTTTAATATTAACTATTTTGTACTACATTAATGGGAGCATTATATGGGTACATCTTTACGGTGCCTAGAAGGCTTTATTTTGTTAGACTATCTGATATAAACGCTAATCTTCTCCAACAATAGAAGTACATGATAAGAGTAGTGTAGAAGTTCATAATGTACTGGCATTGTCAGTTAACATTTAGGAATTTGATAAATTCTATTTCTTGTTGAATGACAGCTGTGCTTCTTGCATCCTTCAAAGTATAAATTTGAGCATCCTCGATTTTGCCTGGAAAGATTGGAGTATGTTGGCCAAAAGATTCAGGTATTATTGTTATAAGTACTTACTCCATATTCTAATAGTTTACTGGTTCATAGAGTTACTAGAATTTTTTTTCCCTTCCTTTTTTTTTTTGGCGCATTTCCCATCAAAGTTTTATGAAATATCTGTTAGTACAGTGCTTAGTCTGATGACGCTAGAGTTGGCTTGATGCAAGGTGGATCCAAACTTGAACCTCTATTGATGCGAAAGTGCACCATATTAATTCGTAACCCAGAGTATCTTTAAACACATGGGCATGTACACAGACAACAAGCAAACAGTGTTGGGAAAAAACATGGAAATGGAAAGTGCTGCTCTTGATAACAAGTTCACGAATTAAGGGCACTTGAATTTTGTGAACCGTACTAGATGATATACACACACTAGACCACATAAATCTAGACTAATTTAGCGAGTACATTCTTTTGTTATGAGGGTGTTCGCGCCTCTAGCACTTGCCTAATTCCTCAGCAATATGGCATCCCCCGGAAACAGAAAATCACAAGTGTGATTTCTTGTTTGGAGATGAAATATGCTTCTGAATGAGAGGAGAGAAACTTAACGTTAATTCTACAAGCAAGATGAGACCGAGAAAAGTGGGGAAGAAGAAATAGAAAGAATAAAGAACAAGAAACTTAAAGATTTCAGCGGCGCGCCAGATCAATGGCCTTCAAAAGTATGATTTCACAAGACTGCATTGTTTTTTTCCGATAACTTCATCATAACTTCATTGAAGAAATATTGGTCTAGAGTCTTTAGACTTAGCAAATGTGATCATTAGAAACTAGTCTTTAATGAGGAAGAATTTCAATCATATTAAATAAAAACCTTCCTAATAGTGGTATTCTAAAAGACTCATGAATTAGTTAAATTTCCCAACTTATAATTTATTCTAAAAGATTCACAAATCAATTAAAGCTTCCAACTAATAATTTACTTTATGTAGGTAAGGCTACAAGACCTCCAATTAAAATCATATTTCTGAAAATGAGAAAAAAATTAGCATCTTTTTAATATTAGTCTCTGCTATCTTCTTCATTAGGACCTTGTAATGGCCGAGAGGCTACTCATGAAGCATCTTGATGCTCCTGGGAGATGGTTACAAGAAAAACACCGTCGTCTCCTAATGAACAAATTCTGTGGGCGTTATCTAAGAGACAAGCACCTCCACCATTACATTGTCTATGGTGAATCTGTCCAAGACTCATTCGAGCACAACCGGAGGCTAAGAAATCCATCGACCACTGCTGTTCAGCAAGCGATCCATGGATTAGGGTATGCTGTCTACGGAAAGCCCGATGTGAGGAGGCTAATGTTCGAGGTCTTCGATTTTGAGCAGGTTCAGCCAAAAGCAGTGTAAAAGATAGGTACAATTGTTGTAAGGAATCAGTACTTGTGCTGATTGCTGGCTTTGTGCTCTGCGCATTTGTTGTGGATCCAGCTTTGTTACTGAATCCTTGTTGAAGAGTGGGATAGGGCAGCGAGTAATATTTTTGAAATAGGAATTTTGTAACACAGGTGTTTGTATAATAGAAAATCAAATTAAATGATCCGTTTTTTTTCTTTCGAATTGCAAGTTGGTAATGACTACTGTTTATTTATTGATAGTGAATGAGACGACGCACCGTTTACAGGTTTTCTAAGAAATCGTTTTACATTTTACATGTTCACTTGCATGAAATCATCCATCATGAGACGGAAGAAAGAATATCAAAACAAAATAGAAACAACGAACCCGCATGTATTTTGCAAACATACGAGGCACAAGCATGAATAGGTGCCATGACGATTAACTGATAACATTGCCGAGTTGTCCAGTATCAGATTAATACTCCGCAAAGAACAGATAATCCTAACAATCACCTACTATAACAAATTGAAAAGTTCAAGTGGCTGTTATTGAGCAGAAGGCAAATCAATATAACGATTGGCCCCATTGAGCCTCAAGCTCCAGGGAACTATTTGTTGAGGAAAATGTTACAAGATCATGTTGTGCACAGCGAAACTCGAAACACACGAAAAAGAGCACAAACAAGAACGAGATAGATCACAACCAATAAGTAAAACACAATCACCACAGCAAGACAAACGAATTTTACGTGGTTCGGTAAGTTGCCTACGTCCAGAAGGTAATGAGGAGGGAGTTTTTACTATTAGAGATAAAGAGAATTACAAATAGGGTTACAAATCTCACCAAAAACCCTCAAACAAAGCTCTCTAGATCTCTCACAAATTCTCTCACAAAGGATGCACAACACTCTCTCAAAGGCTGCTCAAAAACGTTCTCACTTAACCATAATTAATCAGGTTTAGGGTTATATATCAACTCAAAACAAAACGGGTCTGAAATCCAAACCCAACTCAAAACCCGACTGGCGGTCGACCGCCAAATTCGTCGCGGTTGACCGCACGTAACGACAAAAACCTAAAATGATTACAGGGTTTCTACGGTCGATCGCGACGGTCGACGGAACCAATCCAGAGACCCAGAATCCTACAGGGTCCCTGACGGTCGACCGTTGCGGTCGACCATCCCAACTCCAGAAACGTGCTTCAATCTTGTGCACGTTTCCGATCGACCGCAGTTGTCTCGTGGTCGACCGGCAGTCACCCAAACTATTTTCTGCATCTGTTTTCCTAAACTTTTCAACTGTGTCGCCAATTCTACAAATCTCCACCTCGGTGAAGTTTCCCAAAACTGAGCTGACACAAAAAACAACCAAATGTCCCACTTGTTGCGTCCAGTACGAAGTGAAATAGATCCAGGACAACAGACTCAATCCACAATAAATCGGGAACCCAAACGAGAGCTTAAACAATCTCCCCCCAGAAATCCACAAATCCAAACCGACTGCATCAAAAAGATTGCCTATGTATCATCTTGCCCAAGGAATCAAGCCTTACGTAGTTCATCCAAATGGCCTCCAAAAGGCCCTCAACATCAAAGAATGTTCAATAGCTCCAAACAATGACCAAACTTAACACCTGAAACAACTTTGGTTAACATATCTGTAGGGTTATCCTTTGTGTGGATCTTCTCCAACATGACATCAAAACTGAATTTTTTCAACATCTTCTGCAAGTAACTCCTCTGTGTAAGCTTCAATCTCCCCTTCACTCTGTCTCTCTCAATCTCCATACTTAATATCTTCTTAGCTTCTCCAAGATCCTTCATCTCAAACTCCGATGGCAGCTCTTTTTTTAACTTTTAAATAGCCGAAGAATTCCTGGAAGTAATAAGCATATCATCAACATATAATAATAAATAAATGTACTCATCATCATGTAGATTGTGCATGTAAACACATGGGTCATATGGGCTCCTCGTGTATCCTTGGCCAATCATAAAGCTGTCGAATCTCTTGCATCATTGTCGCGACGATTGCTTCAATCCGTAAAGAGACTTCTTCAGCTTGCATACCAAATCCTCCTTTCCTACAGCTTTAAACCCTATGAGTTGTGTCATGTAGATCTTCTCTTTTAAGTCTCAATGTAGAAAGGCTGTTTTAACATGCATCTGAATCAAATCCAAATCCAGCTGTGCCACCAATACCTAAAGAATCCTAATTGACGAATGCTCCACAACGGGTGAGAAAACCTCGCTGTAATCAACGCCCGCAAGCTAGGCATACCCCTTGGCAACCAATCTAGCTTTGTACCGAATGTCCCCAATAGAAGATCCCTCTTTCTTTACATACACCCATTTGTATCCAATAGCCTTCTTTCCCTTAGGTAGCTTTTCAAATTCCCAAGCGTCGTTCTTCTGAAGAGACCACATCTCCTCCTCCATAGCTTTCCTCCACCTAATCAAATCAGAGTTAAACTCTGCCTCCCTATATGTAGAAGGAACAAAATCATAAACGACATCCACTGATAAAGCATATGCAACCAACACATCATTGTATCTAACTGGCCGACGAATCACCCTTCTAGATCTATTTGCTGTAATGGACTCTTGAACATGACCTTGCTCCTGAGTCTCACCATCCACTGCATCCTCCAAATACCCGATTGTCATCTCATTCCCTCCTAGTGTCATCTCTGTAGGAGCCTCAATGGATACAATGCTATCTGGAATGGGTGGAGTCACATCATCCTCCATCTGCTGCGGTATCTCACATGTCTGGTCTTCCTCCACCTACTGAGGGACTTGAGGCCTCATCATGTACGCCTCATCGAATGTGATGTCTCTGCTAATGACTATCTTTTTGTCCTGTGGATCCCATAACTTGAAACCTTTAACACATTCTCTAAAGCACACAAAGACTGCTTTTCTCGCTATTAGATTTAATTTTGCATCATTAACATGATAATAAGCTGGACACCCAAATATCTGAAGCGACTCATAGTCACTAGACATCGAACCATCAGACCAACACTCCATAAGAGTCTTTTCCTGTATCGCAGTGCACGATAACCTATTTACGAGATGGCTCACATAAACTAACGCCATATTTGGAGGTTAAAAGGTGTTCGGAGGAGGTTAGAGGATGTAGAGGCTACACCACAGAAAATCATGATCAATGCCTAAATGATGCAGTTCACATAAGCAGACAATGCTCTCCTAACACTCTCAAAACCTAGATGGGCAACCTAAGCGCTACCTAGGCACTAAGTACTAGTTAGGCTGTCTAGGTACCGTCAAGGCCTAGGCGTATGCCTAAGCGAACTAGGCAGAGGCTTTTTAAAACAGTACCTTTTATAATGCCATTTTTTCAAGTGTTTTGAACTTTCACAACACTATAGCACGGTTTCTTATCCGTCTAAATAACATGAAAATATATCGGTCTAAATAACATGAAAATTCAAATTGACTTTGGACTACATTGCTTCATGTCAATTCAATTATCAACATGAAAATTTAAATTTGGTTTTGTCCATTCACAAAAATAAAGAAAATAAATAATCACAATGCTAAAGTTTAGAGACATAAGCGAGCAAAAACTACCAAAGTAAAACCGATAAATAAATTTTAGTAAGAAAATAAATTAAATATAATTAATCACAGTATTGATCACATGCACTGCACGTGCATAAAACCTAGTTAGATTAAAAGAGCAAGACTTGGCCGGATAAACAATGTTCTTGGGTGAACAGTAATAGGGGTAATGAACAGTGCTCGCTAATGAACAGTGCATCACCGATGGCAAAGAGTTGATGTAGTCGAGATCAGTGTTAAAGCCGTCGAGAGGAAGCACGTAGTGCAACAAAATCCCCTTGGCAGCTGCGATATTGTGGAGGAGAAAGGAGGTCTTTCTAGTTTCAAAAACTTGGCTTTGAGAAATAGAAAATGGCTAAAAAGATCAAGATATTATACATCAAACCCTAACCTCTCTTAAATAGAGGCTAGTGTAGGCATATAAAATTTCTTATAGGTCCCTTAACACGGCTCAACACGAACTAATGAACCATCGGGCGACGTATCTAAGCACGATCGTTAGCCCGTCAACACCGAAGCCAAACAATGTGCGACGGAGCGGATTAACGAGGCTACGAAGCTGACGAACCGCACGCGAACGACGGAATGAATCCACTCGCGTACGGAATCAAACCAACGGTTCAGGGAGTCAACGAGTCATTCAACCATATAACGGATTCGAACTCAGACACCAAAGCCGATTTACTGCCTAATCGGGATCCAGACTTCCAAATCAAGATTCAGAATAAATCGGGGTTCAGAGCAACGCCACAGGCAAACTCGGATGAATCGCGATCGAGTCACGATCAGTTTTGGAATCGAACTCAGAATCGGATTTATTGCCAAATCAGGAATCAAGTCAACGAATCGATTTCAGACCAATCAACTGCATAACCGAATCACGGACGAAGCGGATACAAGAACCAAAACAACCGAACGACGGACGCAAAACCCGGAGGGGCTCGGCCGAAACCGAGCCACCTCAAGGTGGTTCGGCCAAAGCCGAGCCACCTTCGGGGTGGCTCGGTGGCCGAGCCACCCCGGGGTGGCTCGGCCAAGGCCGAGCCACCTCAGGGTGGCTCGGCCTGGGCCGGGCCACCCTGAGGTGGCCGCCCAGATCTGTGCCAAATGCATAGATCTGATTGCCTATAAATAGGCGGGGTCATTCATCATTTTGGAGAACTTTTGGAAGAACTTTTGGAGAGCCGAAACTCTGCCGGATTGAGACCTCATCTTGGAGTTTTTTGAAGGCTTGAAGACTTGGACGTCCAGATCTGATTCTTGGCGAGCACCCGCATCACAAAAGGCAGGAGTTCGAGGGGATCGAGATCTCAGATCTACGTTGTTACACTCCGGATCAAAGCTTGGTCTTTGATCCCGAGATTCGAGCGATTGTTTCCTTGGTGAAATAATCCCTCCGGCTATTATTTCCTTGGTGAAATAATACCCGTTATACTGCGTAGATCTGCTCGGATCTAGATCGCGCGGTGGTCCACGGCAAACAACCCCGGCGCAGGCAAACAACCCACCAAAGCGAGCGACCGCAAAACAGGAGCTCGCGATTTGTTCGACAAACAAGGATAAAAAAGTTGTAATCTTTCTTTTATTTTCTTTGATTTTCATTGTAACCGGATCTAAAAACAATTATCTCA